CTTCCTACCCAGGCCTCCTTCCTTCCCTCTCTCCTTCACCATTGTCAGAACTTCATTATAGCCACATTCAGGGGTAGCCCTGTAAGATAGTGGAGTGGGAAAAATCTTTCTCAGAGGCAGTCTGCAGGCAGTGCAGCTGGTATCCACACTGGAAAAAAGGAAGCCCAAGGTGAGAATGTACAGATTCCTGCACAGTGGCCCAAGGTCTGGTTCTTTGGCCAAGAACCTGGAAGGAAAAGGACTGAAAGATTGGAAACAAGGGGGTCTGGGGTAGAGACATATAGATAAACACAGAGGAGTGGGCACAACGTGTTTATTTCTGTCTCACACAGTAATGCTCCCCAGAAGGCATCCATCGTGGAAGAGGCACAGAACAACCAAGCAGAAAAGAAGATTGAGCCCGTCAGTGTTACACGGGCTTCCTCATCGGCCACCGCAGAACTGGCACCATGGGCTCAGGGATGGAGGAAAGCAGAAATCCAGCGTGTAACCCCAATTGCCCAAGGCCCATATAGTTAGTGCCACCTCTAAATGTCTAATCTGTCCACACAGAGACCAACGCTGAGCACTGAGAAGGCACATTCCTCGTGGGGAGCAAGTGCTGCTGGACGGCAAGTCGACACGTGGGCCAGTTATGGAGGTACTGCTTCTCTGCTCCTTGCAAATGGATCCAGGCCCTTTTACGTAGCTTCTCCTTGGCCAGCTAGCACCAAAGCTTTGTCAGTAGAGGGCGATGGAGAGACGCGGGAGGAAAAGGGTTTTGCTTCTAGACTCCTGTACTGCCCGCCACCCGGCAGCCCCCAGGCGGCAGTGCACCTTGGCCAGCAACTGCAGCAGCTGCCCCCGGCACCCTAGAGGGCAGATTTCTAGCAAATTCCACCAGCAGAGCACCACAGATGACGAGTGACTTCTCTGCCATCCAGTGAACCACAGCCATGCCCTCCCTCAGCCCTTGGGCGGAGGGGTGCGTGGATGGGCTCTTCTCTTTCTATCAGCCCTGTAGAGCTACGCCTTCTGTCTACTATTCCCGTATCCTTTAAAGTTCTCTTTACTTCCTACTAGCCAATCCCCTGTTAGAGTTAATAATTCTTTATTTTATTTTATTTTTTTTTTTTTCTGTACGTGGGCATCTCCCTGCTGTGGCCTCTCCCATTGCAGAGCACAGGCTCCAGACGTGCAGGCTCAGCGGCCATGGCTCACGGGCCCAGCCGCTCCAAGGCATGAGGGATCTTCCTGGACCGGGGCACAAACCCGTGTCCCCTGCATCGGCAGGTGGACTCTCAATCACTGCACCACCAGGGAAGCCCAATAATTCTTTATATTAAACTTTCCCTGTTCAAATAATTGCATAGTATCTGTGTCACACCCTACAGTGAGAGGTGATAGATACCATTCCAGGTAAGAGTTTGCCTTTCCCGTTCACAGGAACTCAGACATCACTGCTATCTAGGAGCTTATACAAGATGGGATCCACAGGTGTGGAATCCTGTGCCCCAGTACCCAACCAGGTGATCAGAGTGGGTCCCTGATCATGGAACCATTGATTGTGTCACACCCCACATTTCCAGAAGCAGCCAGCCTCACAGAGGACTACAACAGCCAAGGCACAGCTGAAGTGCCATCGACCATCTGAAAGGATGGAGTACTGTTTTTCAGGACGCGTGTCCCCATTGGCTTTGGGAACACGCTGGGAACCCAGGAGTGGAAGAGGGAGTGGCTCTATTTGCCATCGCTCCCTAAGATCCACCATGGGACTCTGTCCTCCCCAGCCCTGAAATTCTGGGCTCTGCGGCGTTCAAGGTCCTTGTCCCAAAGGGGCAACTCTGGTCAAGGGACACAGCAAGGTTCCCTTGAACTAAACTGTGTCTGATTCTAGGGCACTTTGGACTCCCTGTGACCAGGTACCAGCTGGTGAGAAAAGGAGCTGCCATCACTGGCAGAAGGAGTCAGAGCTACTCTTATACAGTGGGGACAGGGAGGGACAGGGAACCAGGTGACCCACTGAATGCCTCCTGGTACCCTTTTGCCCCACTGTGACTGTGTTCGCGCACGTGTGGCAACCGTGGCTACAGTCCAAGGTGTTTCCTGCCCATTCCTCTCTTCCTCCTTTTTTCTTTTTTTTTTTTTTGCGGTATGTGGGCCTCTCACTGTGGCGGCCTCTCCTGCTGCGGAGCACAGGCTCCGGACGCACAGGCTCAGCGGCCATGGCCCACGGGCCCAGCCGCTCCGCGGCATGTGGGATCTTCCCAGACCGGGGCACGAACCCGTGTCCCCTGCATCGGCAGGCAGACTCTCAACTGCTGAGCCACCAGGGAAGCCCTCTTCCTCCTTCTTTTACAGGTGTCAGACTCCATCACAGTCTGAAGGATGTGGATGCCTTCTCAGGCTCCCTGCCCTTTACCCTCCACGGGCACATTCCCCAGAAGTCTCAAGCACATCTTACTCTTCCCTGGCATCTTCTTCTCTGAGGACCTGAACTAACACAAGCCACGAACCAAAAGAGCAGTGTGTGTGGAAGGGGGTGACAAAGGTCATCTTATCAACAACCTCTTTTAACATGATTATAGAATTGCTTTTGTTTTTCTCATGGTGTCTTTTTCTTCCTGTTAATATGCCTTTAGTACCATGACCTTATCCTCTGTAGCACTTAAAATAATGGAGAATTTTATGCTGGAGAGGAGAAAGGGAATCCTCCCATCCTGCTGGTGGAAATGTAAATTGGTGTAGCCACTGTGGAAAATAGTATGGAGGTTCTTTAAAAAAAAACTAAAAAGAGAGCTGCCATATGATTCAGCAATCCTGCACCTGGACATATATCTGGAAAAGATGAAGACTCTAATTCGAAAAGATACATACACCCCAATGTTTATAGCAGCACTATTTACAATAGCCAAGACATGGAAGCAACCTAAATGTCCATCAACAGATGAATGGATAAAGAAGATGTGGTACATATATACAACAGAATACTCCTCAGCCATAAAAAAGAATGAAATAATGCCATTTGCATCAACATGGACAGACCTAGAGATTATCATACTAAATGAAATATGTCAGACAGAGAAAGCCAAATATCATATGTTATCACTTACATGTAGAATCTTAAAAAATGATACAAATGAACCTATTTACAAAACAGAAAGAGACATAGAAAACAAATTTATGGTTACCAAAGGGGAAAGGCTGGGATAAATTAGGAGTCTGGAATTAACAGATACACACTAGTATATATTCAATATCTTATAATAACCTATAGTGGAAAAAGAATCTGAAAAAGGATATGTGTGTGTGTGTGTGTGTGTGTGTGTGTGTGTATAAATATATATGAAACTGAATCATTTTGCTGTACACCTGAAACTAACACAACATTGTAAATCAACTATACTTCAATAAAAATGAATAAATAAAACAAAAAAAGATTATTTGGGAATTTTAAATTTCTGTGCATATTTTCATTACTGAACACCCAACTCCTACCATAATGCTGAGCACATAGTAGGGGCTCCAAATTATTAGATGAATGAATGAGTAAGGCTATTCAGGAACAACCAATCTACAGCAAAATTTACCAAGTGTAGTAGCAGAAGGACATTATTGACAAGACACTATTATGACACACACAGAAATCCTGGAGAGCAGACTTATATTTCTAGAGCACAGATAATGATCAGCGGTACAGTGACAGTCGAACAAGAAGATCTAATAAGGAGTTGGAGCTAAGCTGAGTGCTACGTAGGGCAGCCTCCATATCTTAAACAGAAATAAGCAAATGTCAACCTATGGAGATATAAGGGGGTGTCAGCAGTCACCAACACGAAGCAATTTGAAAAGCAAGCCCTGCTTCTTCCATCTTCTGCACCAACCTGTGCCGGGGCCACCCTGCCCTCTAAAGTGGCTTGTAATTCTCAGAAGCTGTGATGTTGTCATCTCCAGAAGGCTACTGTTAAAATGTAGTCTAGGAGGAAAGGAAGATTTCTGATCTTTCCACATTCACAGAATGAGGACAATGTTTAAGTGAACATGGGCTCACTCTCAAGGGTGGCCTTGCACTTGCTCACTTCCGAGAGTGAGCACCTCCTTACATGGGGCCCAAGGCAGCTCATTGGCCTCATCCTACTCCCAGACCTGCTTGGGATGCTGCTAAAATTACAGATTCTGGGCCCCCCACTCCAGAGCTTGGTCAATCATATACTTTGAACTGACTGTTACTGATAAAGAAACTGCTTCACTTCAAGAGGGAATAAGTCACTTTAAAGAGGTGTAATTGATGAGAAGAAATGAACATACATAATTTGTAGATGGCACTTCATAAATCGGGACTGATTGCCAGAAAGGATAAATTGAAGGAAGAAAACGGAACCCTAATACAACTGCATAAATTTTCAATAAAAAATTTTTTTGCGTGCAAAAGGAGAAACATGGAGAAAGAGGAATCTTTGGCTGAGAAATCAAGCACTACAAAAAATACTACTTATGGCTTTATTTTTCTTTTTAATTAAGAGGGTTTACACAAATTTGGCTTCATGAACAAACCACACAGCAATAATTACATAAAGTTTTACTGATCCAAAAGTATTATATCTGCCACCAAAAATGATTCTTTGTATATTTCTGTTGTAAAAATCATAATGATGCCACAATTTAGATTTACTGCCTACCTTTACAATTAAATATTATATCCTTTTGGGAGATCATGATACCCTTATCATTAATTGGAAATATTTCACTTTTCAAATACCATTCTTAGAAATAAAAGGTATAATCATAAAGTATGTTAACTTCCATTCCTAAAAATTTTTTGATCACAAGCTAAAGGGCATTGGTTGGGATTTAAAAATGCATTTATTTCAGGAATAGTTTTTGCATAGATGTAATTGATAACATTAAAAAATCAGAATGTAAGTTTTCCATACAGATTATATGTTCCTGTAAAGTACAGAAGTGCATGGTTGAGATGTTAAGGCATTTGGGGACAAAGGACACTTCCATGTTTCCTTAGCCTACAGCTTGCCTCTTTGCTTAGAAGACTCTTTAATCCTTTTGACAAAAGAAAGGTCCCCTACTGCCTCGGGCCAGTTGTCATGATCTGTTAAGTAAGTGGAAAACCTCAGGTCAGACACAAATCTATTAACCTCATTAGTCCTCTTAGTTTCCACCAAACCATTTTGTCATTTTCCCTGGTTCACCCCTTTTCTCAGCAAGAAAAGAGAAATTACTGGGAGGAATGGCAAAGGTTTTGAAAAAAACCTCAATTTAGTAGCTTTTGTAGAAATTACTTCTACAGATTTGGTGAATCTTCCTCTTCCTGTGCCTCAGCTTCCTCATCTATTAAAGGGGATAACAACATCTATCTGTTAAAGTTGAGAGAGTTAATGTGATTCCTATGTACAGTGCTGGACATAATATAGACATTCAATCAATCTTACGTCCTTAATAATAATGCCTTCTAAAACATGCTTACTTTGTACCAGACACTTAGAGTTGCCCACACCCCCAGGAGCCAGTCTCCCATCTCCTCTCTCCAACAGCCTCCGTTTCCATTTAGGAAACCATGAGGTTCTGGGGAAGTGACCCTACTCAGATCACTGACTGATCTAAGTCATAAGTGCACTCTGTTCCCCTGGCTGGGGTTACTGGTTGAGGATGGACACTTGCATAAGCTGGTCCCAAGCAGAGGGAGTCTCAGAATTTGGTTAGAAATGCTGAGACAAAGTCATTCCCTCCCCTCTGTCTCTGTCCAGGTGGACGTGAACAAAGAAGCCTGTAGCTGCAGGTGCAGCAGGCAGCCATCCTGCTACAAGGAGAGTCCATCTTACGATATGGCCAACATCATAGCAGCAAAAACAGAGGGAAAAGAAAAAAAATGCCCTTGATGAGATCACTGAGCTGCAGAGTCAAGTCTCACCTGTTATTTGAGACAACAAATTCCTTCATTGCTTAAGTCAGTTTGAGTTGTAGCTAAAAGCATCTTATCTGACACAGGACTTTAAACATGCATTAACTAATCTAATCCTCCCAACAGCTGATGAAATGAATAATATAAGGGACCTCACTTTATAGAAAAGAAAATGAAGGCTTCCAGAAATGAATTTTCCCAAGAACATCAGCTAATAAGGGTATAGCCAAGCTTCCATCCCAGGCATTCTCACTGCAGGGCTGGCAATCTTAAAGAAAACTTTAGAAGGAAAGGCTGACTATGCCTGCTCCTTATTTGGGGGGAGTATATTCTTAAAAGATGGATGTGGCTGCTTTCTTCAAAAACTTAAAACCTGTTTTTTGTACTGATGAAAAAACCGTGTTAGAATTACAAAAGAAAACCATTTCACTGGAGGCCTGGAGAAGCACTCACCTCGAGTTTTTTTTCCTTCTTTAAAAAGGAAAAACGATGCATCTCATTTTAACAAATACTGACTCAACTCCACCGGTGAGGGAAGTGGAAAGATTTTCCCCCCACCCTTGCTACATTAAATACTTAAATACTATCAGAAAACAATACTGTATAACCACGTAGGCATTTCTGTGTTTCCAAATGAGAGCCTTAAAGCCACAGTATCTTATGCACATCACCACACTGGTGCTATTAGTAAAGAAATATATGGGAGGGGAAAATAATAAGTAATATTACAGATCCAAACTAATCAGTGATTAATGCAAAGAAGGTCTGAACCCTTGATAAGACTATTAGCACATAAAAGAGTAGGTTAAAAAGAGTAGGTCCCTGATATTAAATTCAAGTACACATACGTTACATCAACCATATTTTAATTCACTAGCAGCCATTTAATCAACTATCTTTAGCAACAGTTCAAACACATTTGAATTTCATATTCTTTTCTACATTTTGGGAGTGATTAGCTTGGACATGCCTTGAATCCATGGATGTGTCTTGTCATTTGTTAAATCAGGATACTGGACAGATTTTTTAGGACCCTTCCAACCCCCAAGTTCTATGGTCCAGCCATAAGATAAACACACACACAGAGATATTTGTGTGTAATATCTACATCTGGATGAGTCTTATAAAACTGCTGTTTTGTACATCAAAAATGAATGAACACAGCAAATTCATATGGTTTCATTCAATCTATAATGCAAAGATAGTATAAAATAGCACCATATCATCCCTCCCCACCTAACAGGTCTGATTCTTCCCCTCAGATACACAAGCCACTTACTGGAGAAACAAAGAGAAGTTCACTCTCAAAAGTATGACACCTTCTTGCCTCTGTTCTATCTCTTCCTTGTACATATATGCTCATATTGAGAGTATTTTTCAAGGTTAAAATTTACCAGCCTATGCACACACAAACAACTTTTTTAATATGTAAAGCTGTGTGCTATAATATATTCAGATATTTTCTGCACTAGGAACACTGCCTTTAAAAATCATATGATGGGCTTCCCTGGTGGCGCAGTGGTTGAGGGTCCGCCTGCTGATGCAGGGGACATGGGTTCGTGCACTGGTCCGGAAAGATCCCACATGCCGTGGAGCGGCTGGGCCCGTGAGCCATGGCCGCCGAGCCTGCGCGTCCGGAGCCTGTGCTCCGCAACAGGAGAGGCCAAAGCAGTGAGAGGCCTGCGTACTGCAAAAAAATAATAATAATAAAAATAAATGAATAAAAATAAATAAATCATATGATGACTATAAATATTTTGTACATTTTTGATGTTCTACAAGAAAAAAAAAACGCTTATCTCTTAAGTACCTAAAGAACTTTTGAAAACCTGAACAGAAGGAGGCATAAAGTGAGTGACTCCTCATTTCTCGACTGCTCACCTGGTATCTCAAATGAGTGTGTGTACAAAGACTGGCCCCCATCCACATCCACCAAGTGTCCGGTGATAAAGGAAGCTGCAGGAGATAGCAGGAAGCATACCAAGGTGGAGACGGAAGCACACACATGCATACGAAAAATGAGATACTCCTCATTTTGGGCTGCTTCACATTCCCGAGTAAACGCATCTGAAGTTACAGGTCTGTATCTTGAATCCTACAGCCTAGAATGCCAGTCTGTGTGTGCTATAACCTGAAGGTGCATAGACAGACGCCTTTTTCTATTTGAGCATCATTAAAATTAGGTACGTGACTGGGGTGAAGGGAAGATAAAAAGAGCCTCGGACAGAGTCAAACGAACTACACGATGTGAAGTGGCCAAAAGTGAACGCAGTGCTCAGTGTCTGCTCTCTCCCATCTCAAATAATTCAGTTCTTTCCACAATCCTCATTGTTTTTGTTTTTGTGGTACACGGGCCTCTCACCGTTGTGGCCTCTCCCGTTGCGGAGCACAGGCTCCGGACGCACAGGCTCAGCAGCCATGGCTCACGGGCCCAGCCGCTCCACGGCATGTGGGATCTTCCTGGACCGGGGCACGAACCTGTGTCCCCTGCATCGGCAGGCAGACTCTCAAACACTGCGCCACCAGGGAAGCCCCCACAATCCTCATTGTTTTCAACACCACCACATGCCTTTTATAGTTTTCTCCCTGAAATAGTCATTGTGTCTGTATAACAATAAACTGGCTTTCTAGTTTGTTTAGTCCATGGTCCTTTTAGGCCCAAAGCCCAGCAACTCAGAGCTTTCTACGAGAGGGGCCTGAGAATCCCACTGCAGCTCCGAAAAGGGCAGATAGGTAATTGATGAGTTTAGCAACATCTACTTCCAAAGCCAAAGAGAAAGACAGAAATTATTTCACTGGATGTAAAGGAACTCTCACGTGAGGCTGCTGGCACAGGCAGAGTTTCTCAAAGGGTGATCTTAAACTCCTGCATTAGAATCCCTAGGGGTGCTTACTGAAACTCCAGATTCCAAGACCCTACTCGAGATTGCCTGAATTGTAAGCTCTAGAGTTAGGGCCCCAGAATCTGCCATTTGATCAGGTTGCCCTGGGACTAGGGTGAGGCTAACGAGGTGTTTGGGGTCAAGGGTGCAGCAGTTAAGGAGGTGCTCACCCTAGGGGCAGACCCTGCACCTATGCAACCCTGAGAGCAAGTGGGTCCTTAAATATTGTGTTTGTACCTTGCTTGCCTCACCCCAGTCCTGGGCCAGCAGAGCACCATAGCATGTTTGTTTACATGGCCGTGCCTCTTTTGTTGCTGGTTGTGTTTTTTTTTGTTGTTGTTTTTTTTTTGCGCGGTACGCAGGCCTCTCACTGTTGTGGCCTTTCCCGTTGCGGAGCACAGGCTCCGGACGTGCAGGCTCAGCGGCCACGGCTCACGGGCCCAGGCGCTCTGCGGCATGTGGTATCTTCCCGGATCAGGGCATGAACCCGTGACCCCTGCATTGGCAGGCGGACTCTCAACCACTGCGCCACCAGGGAAGCCCGGGGCCGTGCCTCTTTGAGACTCTGAGACCCTGGAGGGAAGCATAGCCTTCTCTCCATCCTTGTATCCCCAGCAGCTATTATAGGACTGCACGGTCGAAAATGGAGGCCACTAGCCATATGCCACAACCAAAGCATTTCCATACCGCTGTAAGTGTAAAACCACACATCAGATTTTGAAGACTTGGTATGGAAAGAAGAATGTAAAATAATCTCATTAATAATTTTTATAATGATTACATGTTAAAATGGTAATGTTTTAGATATACTGAGTTAAATAAAATATATTTCTAAAACTAATTTCACTTCTTTTTAAAACTTTTCTTAATGTGGCTATTATGAAGTTTAACATTACATATGCGACTATTATCACATTTCTATTGGACACAGTTAGTATAGAATTAATAATTTAAAAGTTCCCACATTCCTGGGGAAGGGCTGATGGGGCCTAGTAACAGGTGGCCATCAGAATTAGTTTTACCCTGTGTAATCAATCAATGACAACTCGCCCTGAGAACACGTTTTGTTAGTCAACCAATCAGTGAGAGCTCTTTGACTCTGCAAGTTAGCCAATCGGGAAGACTCAGTCCAATAAGCTCCTTTCTGAGTGTCAGCAAAACAACAACCCTCTCACCCGAGTAACCATGGCTTCTGGAAGTCTGCAAATCTCTAAAACCATACTTACCCCCAAGGGGGGGGAAATAAAAAGCCTCAATAGTCTATTCCAAGAGACTGTGGCTGACCAGCAATAAATGTGGTTTTGTGCTGAGTTTTGTTTCAAATATTGAGCAGTGGCTCCATCCTTTGACAGTGTTTAGCATAAAATAACTACTTAATAAATGCTGACAGAGGGAAAGAATCTTTTTGCACCTCTCCCCCTCAAATAAAGGGATTTTTCATTGCCTAGCTCTCAATACAGTGTTTTGCCAACAGACTAGGCACCATTAAATAATACTGAATTGGACTGAAACTACCTGTGAGGTATTAATAAAAGACATAAATATTCATGATACCTTATTTACTTTTGGAACCCAACATGCAGCTAAAATGAACTAAAAAAAATTTTTATAATTACCAAATTATGCACTATTATAATACCTTCAGATAGATTCTTCCTAACGTTCATTTTAATGGAATCCATTTGACAGATGAACTTGAAGTATTAAATCGGGCATGTTATCAATCAATAAACACTACAGGAGTCTAGCAACTTGTATCCACGTCATCTATGTGGGTAACACCTCTTTGAGTTCAGTTATCTGTTTGCTTTCAGCTCTGTTTATTAAAGATCACAGGGATTTTATTTTATTATTTATTTATTTATTTTTATTGGCGTGTAACTGCCTTACAGTTGCTGTTCATTTTTGCTGTACAATGAAGTGAATCAGCTATATGTATACCTATATCCCCTCCCTCTTGGACCTCCCTCCCACCCCCCCACCCCAATCTCACCCATCTAGGTCGTCACAGAGCACCAAGCTGAGCTTCCTGTGCTTTGTACCATGTTCCCGCTAGCTATCTATTTTATGCTTGGTAGTGTACATACATCAATCCTAATCTCCCAATTCGTCCCACCCTCCTCTTCCCCCCACCCCCGTGTCCACATGTCCGTTCTCTACATCTATGTCTCTATTCCTGCCCTGCAAATAGGTTCATCTGTACCGTTTTCCTAGATTCCACATATATGCGTTAATATACAATATTTGTTTTTCTCTTTCTGACTTACTTCACTCTGTGTGACAGAATCTAGGTCCATCCACATCTCTACAAATGACCCAACTTCGTTCATTTTTATGGCGGAGTGATATTCCATTGTATATATGTACCACATCTTCTTTATCCATTCATCTGTCATTGGACATTTAAGTTGTTTCCATGTCCTGGCTATTGTAAATAGGGCTGCAGTAATAAGTAGACTTGGGTTTGAATCCTAGTGCCATGACCTGAGTATGGCCTTAGGCAAATTACTGAACCTCACTGGCTCTTGATTTCTTAATTTGTAAAATGAGTGTACAGTGTAAGTATAAGCCGTCTGAAGGGGCTGCCAAGTGCTGCACTCCCTTCTAAGAGACGTTGAGGGCACCGCAGAAGCCCTGACAGTTCCTTTTAAAACTACAGCTACACTGACCCTCCTGACTCAGTCACAGGAACTGTCACTGAAAAGAAGACAACTCACTGATAAGCAGTTCACCAATAGCCTGTTGTGAAAGTTCTGCCCCAAAAAGGGCATTAGTGATTAGCTGGGGCAATCAGAGTAGCTTGGAAACATGTCCTAGGGATGCTAGGACCCTATCAAGCAGAGGCTGAAACGCTCTCCTTATTCTGCAACTCATGGCAATTCATCCCCTCTTCTTCCCCTTACAAGCAAATTTTTTGAAGATATTACCTACATTAGTCACAGCACGGTTGGCAAAACCCTGGGCATACCTAAGACCTTTTCAGGGGATTTGCGAGGTCAAAACTGTTTTCATAACCATACTGAGTCCTTATCTATCTTTTTCACTGTGTTGACATTTGTATTAATGGTGCCAAAGCCGTGATGGGAAAAATGGCTGCAGCCTCAGGAACATTGAAAATTATTAATCATATTAATCTCAACTACCGAGTACACATCTTTTTAATATCCTGTGTGATGAGGTGAGAATCACACCTTCAGCTCTTGTGCTGCACATGGAAGTATAAAGGTTGTCTCAAGGAAAAGAACGTGTGCTTGAGCTACAAACCGAACTAGTCACTTTTTTCACAAAACATCATTTTTTACTTGAAAGAATGACTAACAAACTACAGTTATTCACACTTGGGTATTTGGCAGACATTTTCTCAAAACTGAATCAACTGAGACTGCCACTTCAAGCAGCTGAAAACAACTGACAGTGTTTGTCAATGACAAGATTTGAGCTTTCAAGTGAAAACTAGAATTTTGGAAAAGTTGTACATGTCACTGTGAGTTTGACAGTTTTCTAATACTTAAAGATTTTTCGGAAGAGATTGGTGGTGATATTAACAAATGTGAACTTTTGATACTGTATCATGAATTGTGTGTCAACATTTAGAAGATGTCTGTAATTCAGTGAACCCATATTTTCCAAAAGACCAACGTCTGATGTTACAAAATCATCTATGGGTGAAAGACCCAGTCAAAGTGCAAGGAATACCAAGGAATTTTAATGTAACAGAGTCAAAAAGTTCACTGACATGGTTTCAGATTCCACATTGCAATTATCTTTAAGAAACTACCAGGGCTTCCCTGGTGGCGCAGTGGTTGCGAGTCCGCCTGCCAATGCAGGGAACACGGGTTCGTGCCCCGGTCTGGGAAGATCCCACATGCCGCGGCGCGGTGGGCCCGTGAGCCATGGCCGGTGAGCCTGCGCGTCCGGAGCCTGTGCTCCACAATGGGAGAGGCCACAACAGTGAGAGGCCCGCGTACCGCAAGAAAAAAAAAAGAAACTACCACTTGTTGAGTATCAAAGAAGAATATCCACAATTACCCAAAAAGGCTATTGAAATACTCCTCCCTTTTCCAACTGGCACAAAGCCAGATTTGCTTCACATGTTTAACCAAAACAACATATTGCAACAGACTGAATGCAGAAGCAGATGTGAGAGTCCAGTTGTTTTCTATGAAGCCATACATTAAGCCATTTGTAAAAAACGTAAAACAAATGCAAAAAAAAGTTTGCTTTTGTATTTTAAAATGTAGCTATTTTTCAGTAAAAATATTATTCATAGCATGTAATGCCTTTATTAAGATGATTTTAAGTGAATTCATAAATATTTCTTAAATTTCTCAATTTCAATTTTTAATACAGTAAATATAGGCAATATAGTTCATAAAACAGAAGGAGTGTTCTCTCCAAAACAAAAATTTAGTTAGATCATTCCCTTGATTAAAAGTCTTTAAAAATCACTCTCAGTTTTCAGGATAAAAATCCAAGCACCTTGCTCAAAATAGCTCATCAAATGTTGAATTTAACAGTATCTTCTAAAATTTAATATGCAAGTCAATTTTAGTTCAGGAATTCTGCTTCTAGAAAGTTACCTCCTCACCCAAGAGTGCATGACTACATTGAAGGATGTTCACTGCAGAATTACTGAAGTATAAAAAATATAAATAGAATCTCAATGTGAAACAATAGGGTCTAATTAAATATACTATGCTACATCCATAGCGAGTGGCAGAAAACATACAGTAGAATCCCACTTTCGTAAAAAAGTCTGTAAATAAAAATATTTTTGAGCATGCACAATAAAATTTTGGAAAGATATACATCAAACTGATAATGAAAGCTAGCTCTAGGAATTAGAACACATTTTCCTCTAAGAATTTTATGGCTTTGCTTTTATATTCAGCACTTAAATATATCTGAAGATCATTTTGCATGTGATATGAGATAGGGGGCTCTATTTCTAAAGGAACAGCCAATTGCTGCAAGACTTTTGCTGAATGGTCTATTCTTTCCTCGCAGATTTGAAGTGCTACTTTTATCCTATAAACTCCCCGTATATATATATGGTACTGATATGGTACTGTTACGAGAGTCCATTCTGTTCCACTAATTTTAACCTCTTCTAGTACCAGCCCCCGATGTGGTAAATAAGTATAGTTTTATAGTATGTTTTGGTAGCAGGAGGGTCATATCCTCTCATTATTCTTTTTCAAAACATTTTTGGCAGTTTTGGCATAAATATTTTTCAAGACAAACTTTAGAATCAGTATATTAATTCCAAAAATATATTAAATGTATACACTGATTTAATGAAACTTGTTTTTAGTCAAATTGAGCCTCTCCATTGAGGAATGTGACATGTCTGTGTTTCTTCTGGTCTTTTTTTCTGTTCTTCAGTAATAAACATTTTTTCATTTAGAGTTAAGTTTACTTAAGTTTTTATTATTATTGTGGAAAAGATCTCCTTTTTTAAAAAAATTACAATTTAAGACTGATCTTGCTGGCATTTAAGAAAGCTATTGATTTTTACATACTTAAAACTGGCCACCTTACAGAAACCGTGTATGGAACTTCATTTTGTCATAATTGTCTGACTTGCTTAGGTTTCTGTGTATCATAAATGCCACGTGATAAAACAAAGTAGCTGAAAAGTACAATGAAACAATAAAAACATGCTGCTCTTAATCCACACTGCATTCACTCCTGAATAAATGCTACTGTGAGTATTCAAAGCACCATCAGGATAGGATTCCTGGGAGCCAGAAGGAACAGTGGAAATGGCTTCATGGCATGGGAGCAATCTTCTCTATTATCCAACCAGACTATTTAAAAAGGACACCAAAATATTACCAGTCTCCAAAGTATAAAACAAAGTAACTCCAACCAATGTTAGATATATACATCACCTCCTCAAGAACTCCAAGTCTTTTAGCTGGGATTTTCTCAAAGTACCCTTCAAATAAGTCTTTTGCCAAATGACCATAGTTGTTAAAAGCAGTCTGGGAATAAATGATTCCCTATGTTTAAAATAAAACAGGAAAAAATAAAGTACATAAAATTAAATTTTAATTTGTAAAGACAACAAGGCAGTCTGTCATCCAATACCAAGTTAAGTTTAATAGAAAAGTTAACATTTCTAATATTAATTTTTCTCAAAATGGTCAAAGAAGTGCAGTCAACCACTACTCAAAAGGATTATCTGAATGCTCACTTTGTGACCTCCCCTCGCATAATAACCAGCCAAGCTCGAGATTTTTTCATAAAAGACTTGGTTTCTGAAAGCATAATCATACAAGTAGATCAGAGAAGCCTTTAACTGGGAACAATGGGTAAGGGGAGTCTATTTTACCTTCCACTTAGGCTTCTATGTTTTACAATGGAAAACTGGCCTATGGTAAAGTAGGACTTAGAAAATGCAATATTTTCATGGCTTCTTACCTAGAGAAAAATCACAAATAAAAAATTTAAATCCAATACAAATAAATTTAAATTTTAATTGTTTAAGAATTCTTTTATTCAGCTTTCAGTAGCTTTCAATGGTTTATAAAGCCAAAAACATTATTCAAAAACTGTTTAACACAGGATAAAGCTATTTATTACTGGCTTATAATTATATACAGCAGAGGTTATTAGAAGGGGAGGAAACAGGAGGGATAAGAGTAAGATGAAGAAACCTGGCAGCATTAATTACTCCAAACAATACTGGGGTAATATACTGGTTTCCAATTAAACAATTTGTAACCTTTTATTTAAAGAGGATGGAATCGGGACTTCCCTAGTGGTGCAGTGGTTAAGAATCCGCCTGCCAATGCAGGGGAAATGGGTTTGATCCCTAGTCCGGGAAGATCCCACATGCCGCAGAGCAACTAAGCCCCTGTGCCACAACTACTGAGCCTGCTCTCTAGAGCCCGCAAGCCACAACCAATGAAGCCCGCGCACCTAGAGCCGGTGTTCTCCAACAAGAGAAGCCACCACAATGAGAAGCCCGCGCACTGCAATGAAGAGTAACCACTGCTCACCACCACTAGAGAAAGCCCGCACACAGCAACGAAGAAACAACAAAGCCAAAAATAAATAAATTTTAAAATTTAATAAATAAATAAAGAGGATGGAATCTTCCAGTAGTATTAAGGTTTAGACATTAAACCTAAAAACATCTGTGGAGGACAAACCTGACTATAGTATTGTGCTTATAACACCAACACATCATTAAAGGTTATCAAGAAATACACATTTGGAGGCCAGTATTCTCCAAAGTATCAACATTCAGAATGGAACTATATCTAATTTACCCTATAAATATTTGAGAGTAAGGTAGATAAGGTAATGTCAGCCCCAAAGCATTGAAGGGATGTGAAGTTTCTGGCTAGGAACATACATTTGCTAGAGATGAGATTTCTCTAACATCTACAAGTCAGTTCATGCTTAGTTCCCACTGAGTAGCATAGATAACAATATCTATGGATACTATATAGATAGATCATAGGTAATACCCCCCAGATATTACAGAGTTTCAGATTGAGGGATGATTACTATCTTAGCAACGACCAGGAATCATCACAGAGAAATGAATTTGAGCTGAGTTTTGCAGGATGTGTAAGATGTTTCATTTATTATCTCTCTTGGAGTACATGGCAAATACGTAGTCCCCAAGGAAGCTTAAGCTATGTCTTACTTCACATAATATGACAGTGCTTAAAGCTGAACAAATTGTTATTTTTTTCCCTATCATTTACATTATGTTTCAGAGAAATTTCCCCTTGGCTTATAGTTGGAAATTCCAACTTCAACTGGAAATTCCTTCCTAGAACTTTGACTTTAAGTTTCTCTCTCTCCTAATAAAGGATTAATGATATACCAAGAAATAACAAGATAATCTAGAAAAATTCATTCTTTAAGGCAGCGATTCTCAACCTTCACGGTGAACTTGAATTTCCTTCACTGTGCAATTGAATCAGCTTAAAAAAATACCAACACCTGGATTCCATAGTTTGGAGTCAAGCTTATATACCGCTATTTTTTTATTTCACAGATGATTCTAATACACAGCCAGGAGTGAGAATCATTGGCTTAACTTAACCTTCTTGACAATCTGGTTGTAAATCAAAGAATACTTCTTTCTGGTTTTATCTATTTTTAAAAGCCAATCTTTTCTAGTATACATGCATATTAACAAATACCTCTATTAACAACACAGATGGAATCAGAAGAACACAATTTGTCAACAGCTTTCATATTGAACATTTACCTACAGGGGCAACACAATTGATCCTTATTCCACTGCTGGCCCATTCCACCGCTAAGGATTTGGTGAGGTTGTAAACACCTTCTCTGGCAGCTCAGCTCCACTATGCCTTTAAAACACAAAATACAAACATTACAATCAGCTTCTGTTGAGTATGTCTCCCTTAACTAAACTGATAGGTGTACCAATGACCTGTCGGAGTCCCACACCAATGTTCTTGTTATGAGTCCCTGTCTGAACCATAAGAAAGAACCAGGTCCTTCAATATTAAAGCAAAACCACAGGGCTTCCCTGGTGGCGCAGTGCTTGAGAGTCCGCCTGCCGATGCAGGAGACGCGGGTTCGTGCCCCCTTTCGGGAGGACCCCACATGCCGCGGAGCGGCTGGGCCCGTGAGCCATGGCCGCTGGGCCTGCGCGTCCGGAGCCTGTGCTCCGCAAATGGGAGAGGCCACGACAGTGAGAGGCCCGCATAACGCAAGAAAAAAAAAAAA